GGGGGGGGGGGAGGCTTACCTCACATCATACAGAAAAAAATCAATTCTTAGTGGTTTAACCTAATTTAAAAGGCAAAATAAAACTTTTATCAGTAAGTATAGAATGTATTTATAAACTTGGGAAAATGAAGGATTTCTTAAAACACTCAAAAGTAATTAGCATTATAGTCCATAGTAAAAATAGAAGGCAAAGGTTCATTGATTATCTACTACATGTTAAGCATTGCTTTAGATTATGGGCATACAGCAGTTTAAACATGCAAATACACCAAATACCTGCTCTCATGGAATGTATATTCTAATGGAGGAGTTACACAATAAGTATGATAAGTAATACATATAATGGACAATGAAGAGGGATTGAAGGTATGGTTGGAGCTGCTTAGAGCTGGACTGCAATTATAAGTGTTAGATAGGGAAAGTCTCACTAAAAATGAAATTGCCTTTAACTGAGATTGGAAAAAAGTGTAGGAGAAATAAGTTTGCAGGAGGGACATCAAGACCTTTTGACATAAGTTTGGGATGCCTGTTAGTTCCAGAAACAAATGCTGAGTAGGCAGTTGTACATACGGATTTGGGAGTTCAGGGGAGACTAATGGTGTACTTCTCAGGGTCCAATCAAGAGACAGAAACCAAATCATTCTGAACAAGAGTACTCTAATGGAAAGAACTGTATATTAGAGTTCTCCAGAGAAACAGAACCAATAGGATATGTTATAAATATAGAGATCTATTTTTTAAGGAATTGGCTCAAGCGATTGTGGAGGCTTAGTAATCCAAAATCTAAATGGTAGGCAGGCCAGAGACCCAGGGAAGAGATGCAGTTCAAGTCCAAAGGGAATCTGCTGGCAGAATTTCTTCTTGCTCAAAGGACCTCAGTATTTGTTTTATTAAAGACTTCAACTGATTGGGTGAGGCCCACCCACATTATGGAGGGTAATCTGCTTTACCCAAAGTCCCCCAATATAAATGTTAATCTCATTAAAAGAAAAAAAAACCCTTTACAGAAGCATCCAGAATAATGTTTGACCAAATATCTGAGCGCCATGGCCCAGCCAAGTTGACACATAGTCATCACAAACTATAACAATAGATTGGAATAATGGAGGATTTGCTAATAAGTGATAAAAACACTAAAGAATACAACAACAGCATATATGGGGAGCAGCTGCTAACCCTAGGGCTGAGGCAAGACAAACAGAAGAGTTCCCTCCCCCTCAGGCTGAGAACCAGCTTTATTAAAGCAGTGACAACCATGGCCCACTGGATGGCAAAGCAGTTAAGAGATGCTGCGCTGGGCACTTGTTTGGAATCTGCCCTCAGGTGCTAGAGAAGCATCCAAGGGGAGGTGCCATACTTGCCAGGAAGCCACTGGAAGGGTGCTAGGGAAGAAATCCATAGAGACGCTATACCAGTAAAATCCACTGCAGAGCCACCCACGGGGGTGCAGCATGAGGTTAGCTGCTGAGTAGCACAAGAGCTAGGCACTGCACACTGCTGCAGCCTGCAGAGGGGAGCCGAGCTGGGCCAGGAAAAGAAAACCCCTCCAGTGTCTCTCCAGTGCATCCTACTGACAGTTGTGCCAGCTGGCAAAGGAGAAATGTCTACAAGAGGATCTTGCTCTGTGTTGCAGAGCAGGCAAATGGGTAGATTGGGAGCTGGGAGGCAATCAATTTAATAATTGCCCAACAGTTGAGTTCCTTATATTTTCGTGGAGGAGGAAAAGGAGGAGGGGAGTGGGGAAATGCAGGCGGGAAAGATGATAACATAGAGCAAATGTGTCCAAGCTTTGAGGCAGTGGTTTAGAGCAGGCTGCCATGTTCATTTGGTGTATACAGTTTTCATCACTTCCTTTTAAAATACTGACTTTAATTGAAAATCTTGATTCACTGCAGTTAAGATTAGGAGGCTTTTGCAGTCTCAGGGAAAGAAGACCACAGTGGTAGCAATAAAGGTGGCGAAAGGTGGGTTCTGGGTACAGTTGAAGTGAAAGCCAGAGATTTCCTGATGGATTGAAGGCGAGGGACGAGTGAAAGGGGATCAGGAATGACTCCAAGGGTTTGGGCCTGAGCAACTGGAAGGCTGAAGCTAGAGTTTCCATTCATGGTGATGAGTAAGGATGCGGGGCGAACAGGCTTTGAAGACAGGTCAGGAGTTCAGTTTTGGATGTTAAATTTCAGATATTGATTAGATATCCAAGTGGAAATAGTGAACAGGGAATTGAAATGTCTGAATCGGGATTTTGTGAGCAATTGTACTTCAGATATAAACCTGGGAGTTGCCAGCATTTAGAGATGAAATTTATTGTCTTAAAACTGGATGCGGACACAAGGGAGTGAGTCATCAAATAATCTCGCCAAACAATTTTAATTCCACAATATGGATGTGGCATGATTTACTCTTTGACATTTAGATATTTTCACTGTTCTGAACAATGCTATGATGAGAAAACATCTAGATAGCTCCTGATGTTTCACTACTCTGAACAATACTGTAATGAACAAACATCCTTGCTTTGTCAGAAATTAGCATTTTTGTGAGTCAAAGGCTAATGTCAACAGTTCCATATGATTCAGCGTAATATATTTGATAATTCTTTTGATTCTTTATCCCGACTGCGCTATACTTTGATTAAAATAGATGCCATAACCTAGATGGGGCAATTAATCTCTGGGCTGCAGTGCCCAAAAATAAATCTCTCTAGTTAGAGCTAGCATGTGGGCCAGATGTTCCCTATACTCCGATACAACATAACCCCGAGGTCTGTTATTTACCTATTCATCACTTGTGTAACTTGGGCTCTTAAATGCCCTAAAGCATTCCCTAGATTTCTCACATGCTATTCAAAAATAGCAGCACTTCAAACTACATGAAACAAAAATCGATGGAATCAATGAGAAATAGATTCTCAGTTACAATAGGATATTTCAGCACCGCTTTCTCAATAATTGATAGACAGGAAATCAGTAGATAGAGGACCTGAACAACCCAATCAATCAACTTGACCTAGTTGATCCTGAAATACTCTGTCCAACAACAGCAGAGCACAATTCTTTCCAAGCACGCGAAGAACATAAATATAAAAATTCTTAACAATATGTTATCAATTCAAATTCTGTGATACAAATGATATGACTAATTGGGGTTTATCAAGCAATGCAAAATTTATTGGTTTAACATTAAAAAACCAACCAATATAATTACCACGTTTGCAGACAAAAAATGAAAGTAAATTAGATGCTCATCTCAATTGATGCAAATTTTTTTTGACAAATTCTAACATTTAATCATGTCTTAGGAAAAAGACTCAGCAAATTGCTTTATGTCAGGTATACAGTGTTCATGGATCAGTGATGAAATGCCTAGTATAAACAAACAGTTGGGGAGAAAAATTTTTTCTTCTCTTCTAGGTTCTTTGGTCTAATAATCAAATTCATGTACAACAGATTAACAGGAGAAAAACAAATTAATGATATACACACAGGGGCCCCATAAGAATATGAGACCCATAGTCAATCAGTGTGACAAAAAAAAGCTTATATGCCATTCTGAGCTAAGAAGGGGGTAGGTGTCTAGGGCTTCAAAGGGAAGGAAGACAATTCACAGGGAGATGGGAAGAGCAAACGTTTGATAAACACATTTGCCATGCCACGAAGGGAGAACAGTGGGACACAAATGGGGGACAGAAAGAAGACTTTGATCTCCAGGTCCTGCCTAGTTCCCCCCGGGCCCACCCACCATTCCTAACCCCTCCTCTTTGTAGTTACCTCTGGTAATAGTTTCCTTCCTGGGCTAGGCTAGCTATCTAAATTCTTTTCGGTAGTTAAAGGGGAGGTAATAAGCTCTTCCTCAGTCTTTTGGGGCTTTGGTTATCTTTTTAGCTCAAAATAGTCCACATGCCAAAGTGTCATTTTCTGGGGAGACTTGTTCTGAACCCCTTCAAAACACTCAACTGCAGCCACAGTTATACACTCCTTCCAAGAAAGCCAACTTGCATTTTACTTCCTAGATTTCCACGTGGCATGCTATTAGGACTCTTTAACAACTCCTCTTAAAATCCTTTTCTGGCTGTGTCCATTAATCCTAAACTTACATTATGATCCTGCCCAATCCTCACCCAACCCCCCTTCCCCATTGAAAAACCTGCCTTACACCTGTCTTCAAAACCTCAGTAAGTACCCACACTTGGCCCTTTGCACTCTGATAAGCTGCTAAAGCTCCATCAAGGTAATGACCCTTCTTAATGTGCAAGCAATAAACAGATTGCTCTGATGATAACTCAGAAAGCCAGTATCAACATTAGTGATCACTCATATTCTCTCTTCTGAATTATTTTAGTAATCGTTGCCCAGTTCTTATCTTTGATGTGCATCTTTTGATTTGAAGTTTGAAAACATTCTTTAAGCTATTTGTCTGCTCTATCCAATGTAAATATTTCTCACTTTCAATTTTTGGTGTTTTTTTGTTCCACAGAAATGTTCGGTTTTCAATTGTTTAAAGTCATTATCCATTCCTTTAAACAAAAGAAAAAAACAGCATGGCTCAGTGGTTGAGCATTGACCTATGACCCAGGAGATTGAGGTTTGATTCCCAGTTGAGGCACATGCCCTGGTTTCGGGCTTGATCCCCAGTCCGGGGTGTGCAGGAGGCAGCCGATCAATGACTCTCTCATCATTGATGTTTCTATCTCTCTCCCTCTCCCTTCCTCTCTCTGAAATCAATAAAAATATAATTAAAAATAAATAAATTTTTAAAAGAAAAACAGCTTCTGGTGCTATATAGTGCCGGGTTCAAATCTCTCCTGCCTACTAGCTGAGGACCCTTCTTCATCACTTAACTCTCTGTGAACCCGGCTGCCCATCTGTCTCCCCAAGAAAGGAGGAATATTTTATTTTGTTAACTGCTGTATCCCCAGCTCTGGAAACAGTGCTTGGAACATAGTAATATGTATCAATACATATTTACTAAATGAATGAATCTACAAAGCCAGAATAATAATCTTACTTACCTCGTAGGGTTGTTATAAGAATTAACTAATCCTCAGACATTTTAGTCTAGGACAAGCCTGACACACAGTAAGAGCACAAGAAATGTTAGCTCTCCCCCTTCACACCCCACGCCCCCAAAGGCCTGCCTCTTTGTGAAGTCTTCCCTGCAAGTCTTCGCTCCCACCCCCACCTCCCTGTAAGTTGAGTCATTTCTTCTTTCCCCTCCCTCTGCCCCTCCCACAGGATCTGCACCATTGTCTGCCCTTAGCAGCACTGGTCACTTGAAGTTCTGCACCTTTGGGCAGCTGTCAGCCCCTTTGAGAATCCAAGAAAAGCTACGAACGCTCTCCCCAGAAAAACGCACCTATGCACAAACACACCAACTCTAATGCCCAATGTCTGGGAGCTCACACAACCCTGCCACTAAACCGACTTTTTGGATTCCTGAATTAAATGGACATTAAATGTCAAAGACTCCTTATCGTTTCTGACCAGCAAATCTCAACAGGTCACACAGGAAACTCCATGAGCAGATCTTTACAGCAAGAGTCAGGGTCCAAACTGAGCTCTTCGGAGGTGCAAACTGCTCTCTCCCTCTTGGACCTACTGTCCCTTCCTGGCTGCATTTTCAGAACCTACCCGCACAGGGAAGGACCCCGCAGGGGGCGGGGGTAGGCCCGGGAGGAGGAGGAAGGGGTTTCTAAGTGGAAGCAGGGGGCTCCGGTAGATTCTGAGGCCATTTATAAACTCCCGCAACCATGCTAACCTGCCCGCTTGTGAGTTATTTATGTCAGCCTCCCAGCTGGTAACCAACAAACGCTTACTACCTTGAGAACCCGGGAGGCTTCTGCAGCAGGAGAGGGGGAAAATGTGAGACTGTCCCTCAGCCCTTTCAGGGAAAGAAGATGGCTGGGCCCGGCGACTGGCCGTGTGACTTCCTATAACCTCTGTGGCCTCCTGAGGCCTCCGCTTTGCATTAAGAATGGAAACAGCAGGATGGACCTCATACTTTTGTTGTGAGTACCTGTTAATTGCTTACACAATGTTTTGCACCTAGAAGCACCCAATATTCATTAGCTGTTCTTTATTAATATTAAATAACAACTCACAGGAAGGAGGTTGCCTGCTTCGCAGAGCCAGCTGCGGGCCTGGAGTCTGCGAAGGGGACGGAAAAAGAGACCAGGGAGCTGGCCTGGGACCAAGCCTGCGGGACTTGCTGACCCCCCAAGACACGCAGGCCTGTCAGTCTCCAGATACTTTACCCCTCCTATCCGGATGGTCCCTCGCCTTTTTCCTGTCCTGGAACCCCCAGGACAGGAATGCACAGGTCTCGAGGGGCTCGGCCTCCCCCTCCCTGGAGCCGCGGGTTATGACCCCGGCGGCGTCTAAGGATGGTCCTGTCACCCGGCCAAAAATTATTGGGCTCAGAGAACCAGAAAGGTTGGTCCAGCCCCTCCTCTCATTATTCTGATTAGAAACAGTCTCAGAGGTGACGTGATTTGCCCAAAGTCCTGCAACTTCCTGGAACTAGAAACCAATCGGAAGATTTCCATGTTGCTGCTCTTTCCGCTGTTATCAGGTTACCTCGCAGCCTTCGGCTCTGCTTTTGGAAAGGAAAGAAGAGGTCGCCCTCGGAGGGCCCGTGAAGGGGAATTTACTCAGATTTGGTTACTGCTTGTGGCAGGGGATGAGAGGATGGGGGTGACAGTGTGTAACCTGCTTCCCCCAAAAAACACCATGTGAACAGTTTTTAAATTGCTTCACAAGGTCATGAAATTTAGTGTGTGCCTCTTCCAGGGGGGCTGGGAACTTACCTGTTTTGTTTTCCTGGCCAAGTGCCTAATGCAGAGTAGGTGCTTAATGAATCTGTGCCACCTGGAGGCCTGCACGGCTGGCTGCACCCGTTTTGTCCTAGAGCTGCAGGACTGGGGAGCCGAGCCCCCGGGACGCATGTGAAGTCCCTTCTAGTTTTCCTCAATTATGGCTTTGCAATGAATATCCTTCCTTCAGAAATCCTTGACTGCATCTCTTGATTATTTCCTTAGGGTATTTTCCTAGCCGTGGGATTGCTGGATTGAAAGCTGCACACGCATTTAAGGCTCTTCAATCAGAACCCCTCCAGCAGTTCAAAAACGAACCAGCGTTCCCAGCACACTGGCCCCAACTGGGTATTATCAGGCTTCTTTTTTATTTTGTCTTTTGCCGTTTTGACAGAATAAAAATGATATCTTATTTGCCTCTCTTTGCAGTAGATGGAGATTGAACTAATTGTGAAGAAACACCCTGTGGAACCCAGAGAGCTCCTGTGGGGAGCAGGAGACCAGTGAAACTCGGCCCCTTCTGCCCGGGTGGCGAAACCAAAGAGCACCTGTGTTTGGGGTGATTTCACCCGAAGAGGTAAACACCTGAGCCTTGCCAGAGAGGCTTCCCCTGAGCCAGGGAAGAGAGCTGGGGCTCACTTGCTTTCCTATGTTCGTTTTCCTTCTCTGGTGACAACTAAATGTTCTTTAAGGACAGCAAGAAACGGCAGAAATGGGATAACGATTTCAGCTTAGAGTCCTGGGAAAGCAGGAGGGCTGAGTGTGAGCTTTGAAGGATATTTCCAGAAGATGAGAGGTAAGTCAGTCCCGGGGGATCTGCTGCCCGCGTGGACGGTGAGGGGGGCCCTGGGGACTGTGTACTGGACAGGCCGCTGTTCCGTGCGCAGCTCACAAGGCCAGGGGTCCCCGCGGATGTGGAAGGGCCTTTCCATGGGCTTTCGAGGATCAAAGTGAAACTGACGGGGACAAAGGAAAGGGGTGAGGAAGCGGAGGCAGCGGTGCCGGTGCCGCTCAGGCTGCGAGCCAGGGGCGAGGAGGTGGACTTGGCGTTTGCCCAGAGGCGAGGTGCGCTGCAGGCCTTTTCCTGGCTGGGAAACAAAGAGGACTTCTCACCCAGGCAGGGCCAGGGACGGCGCCCGCTCTTCAGATGTCCACTGGGCTCTTTCACAGACCTCACCCAGGAGGATAGCCGACTTACAAATGTTTACAGACAACTTTATTTACGGATCTAGCTCTCATTTACGCTCACCTAAATGTATGGTCCTAATTACAGTCATCAGCAGTTTCTCGATAATAAACACACGGGATGTGTTTTATAGTTGTTGTTTTTAAACTTTGTGGGGGAGTTTATTTTCTTGATCGCTGTAAATTTCCTACTAAAGCCTGAAATTGAACAATCAGCTTCTCACAGCAACCTGTGAATTTTCTGCCACTTTAATTCTTCTAAAAGGACCTAAGTCAAACTCGAAACAGTAGTTCTTAGAGATTTCAGTGAATGATTTCAAAACCTCATCACTCTTCAAAATCACTTGGTGACTTTTTAAGAAATTACAGTTTCCCTGCCTCCCTCTTGGGAGACTAATTTTTTTTAGGGCTCAGACATACCCGGAACTGGTATTTTGAAAAGCCTCCCAGATGATTCTTAAGTTGCTGCTACAAAAACGAACTTTGGGGAACTGATGTCTGAATGCTTACGTATTTTTGTTTGTTTTTAAACGAAGTTTGGAAATGGCAGTTGTCACTTCTAAAATATATTACACAGTGTTTTGCATTTCTGGAAGACATTCCTTTTTACCTCCTGACGCACCCACCATGGGCTTCCCCTCACTGGGCTCCTCCGTCCTCACCTACCAGGTCATGCTGTTGCTCTCACTACCCAGTGTTCTGGTTTCCCATGACTCCTGGTTTTCCTCTCTGGCGGGATATTTCAGGCTTTCTTTTGTGAATGACAATTGGCCTTTCTTCTTTTACTGTCTTTCAAAGCACTGCTGCTGTTCAGGGAACCTGACCCTGGGCGTATGATCCACTTCCCCAGTTGGCATCTGGGTGCTTCACTACTTCTCTGGGAAGCTCTCCAGATCCCCACATTTACTGTTGGATGTCCCACAAAGCATCTCAAACTCAGTATTTCTCAAATCTTACTGTTTATAGCTCTGGCCGGTGTGGCTCAGTTGGTTGTGCGTCTTCCTGTGCACGGGGCGGTTGCCAGTTCAGTTCCTGATCAGGGCACATGCCCAGGTTTCAGCTGGATCCCCCGTGTGGGGCGTGCAGGAGGCAGCCCATCTATGTTCCCCTCTCACACATCAGTGTTTCTTTCTCTATCTTTCTCTCTAAAAATCAATAAACTATTCTTTTTTAAAAAATCTTAAGTTTTTAGTGTGGGGGCTAAAAAAAAATAATACTTTCCTCCTACAAAGTTCTTCTGGCTGAGCTAACAATCAAATGAACAGAGATAGATTGACAGGAGAAAATCAGAGTTTAATACATGTGAATTCACGTAGGCATGAAAATTCCAAAGACAACATCGGGCATATAAGATGTTTTTTGGACAGAGGAGGAAGGGGAGTGGTTATTAGATTTCAGAAGTGAGAATGGGCGATTCACAGGTAGTTGAGGAAGGGCCGCAACACACATGGCAGGGAAATCCTTTCTAGGTAATTCAAAAACAATGGGGTGGGGATATCTAAGCTAACAGGCACCTGCCTGAGGCCCTCTTGTTTACCACACTTAAATTAGGCTGAGGCCACATCCTAAGATCTCCTTTCTGAAGCAGGTTTCTCTGTCTGAATCTCTTGAGCAGGAAAGGGGGGAGGGTTTAAGGCCCCCTCTGAGTCTTGTCTTACTAAACAGCTTAAAATCAATATCCCAAAAGGCAGCTTCAGAGCGGCAAACCTTGGTTCCCTTCTCTGGCCACATTGGTCCTCTGTGTATCGTATCTCAGAGAAATGGCTCTACTAAGTTTCTCAAGCCAGTAACCTGGGGGTAACCAATTCATTCTTTTAAAGCCGGTGTTCTAGGCACTGGGGGTCCCCAGGCTACCAACCAAAAACCTCTGCCCTCACTGAACTCATATTCTAGAGGGGGACGACAGACAGTAGGCAGTCAGTCCTTAAATCTCATGGATCCTAGCCTTTCATTTCTCTCGACTTAATGTTGCCTCTTTAGTCACTGCCCTAGTTCAACCCCCCCCCCATGGCCTCCCTCCTTCTCTCTGACTCCCTCCAGTCCATTCTCCCCACAGCATTATATTTTTTCTCAATACAAATCTTAAATTTTGGCCTCCAGCTTTCTCCCTTCATCCCTCCCAGATAAAGTCCACCTTCCCAAATCTGGGCTACAAGGTTTTATACCTACTGGGCCCTGCTGGCCTCTCCCCACACATTACCTACTGAACCCCCCTGCTGGGTGTCACTGAATTGAAGCATCCCCACAGCCCCGGCCCTACCCCTCCTCCCTCCCGCCCTCCTCCCAGGACTCCGGTTGACTCCTTGGCCTCCAAGGTAGTCAGCCTCCGGGAGGGCCCCAGGGATTGCTGCCTCCTAGTGTCCGTGCCCTTGTGTGTGGGCTGGGTTTCCTGATGCGGTTCCAAAGACCAGATTATCACAGAAGTGACGGGATGTCACCCTGACATTAGGCTCCATGAAGACTGTGGCTTCTTTCTCGGGGCTCCCTCCCTCGCTCGCCTGCTCGGTGGTCAGCCAGCTGCCACAGTGTGAACTGCCCCGTGACCCGGAGCAGAGGGAGGCCTGTGAGGACCTGAGTGAGCCCTGCCGGCGTCCCTGGGAGAAAGCTGGACTCGGGCTGAGCCAGCAGCTGGGACGGACGACCTTCAGCCGAGGAGGTGCGCTCCAGGCCAACACCTGGGGTCCTGAAGCAAAGGAGCAGATTATAAACATTTGTTGTTTTAAGCAGCTATGTTTTTGTTCATTTGTTACACAGAAATAGATAACAAGTACCACCTCTGTCCGTCCCCCACCCCAGATTCAGTGCCCGTCTGAGTTCCCGAGCCAGTGGTCTCCCCACTGCATCCCCAGAACTTTGCCCTCAGCTTATAATTAGGGATTTGTCCATATCTCTGCGCCCAGATTGTAGGCTCTGTAGGGAAAGGAAGGAAGGGAGGAAAGAGAGTGACCATTTTCCTTCTCAAGACTAAATCCCGGCTCTGCTTCTGGCCTCACCTTTATCTACCCACAGTGTCCGCTGGGGATTGATCGCCCTAATGCAAAGCTGCAGCCCAGAAGAGGCTCAGGCCAGAGGGAGCCAAGTGCCCGGCCCCCACTTCCCCAGATACGCACACACCCTGGCACACAGGTGCACACGAGGCATGCACACACACTCACCCCTCGGGTCCACTGCCCTGTGCTCAGGGTAGGGCGGGTGCAGCCACTCCTGTCCCTTTCACACACCCTCAGGCTACACTTTTGTGGCTTTTCTGAATGAAAGAGGGAGGCAGAGCCACCCCAGTACTGAGCCTTCTGCCTGAGCCTTTAAACTGCCCAGTTCCTCCACCCTTTTTTCCAGCCAACGGAAGTGTTCAAGGGGAACGCTGTTGTGAGTTCCTGGAAAAAAAAAAGTGCTAGTGCTTCTTGCTGCTTTCATTTTCTGATGGCTCAACCTCTAGGCCACGCACTCTCTGACCTAACCCTGAGATCTGAACAAGGTGCCTGGAGTATCTAGGGGCCCCTCCCTCCGGACCGGCTCACAGCACTGTCCTTGGGCTCCAGTTCGCTCCCCTGGGCTTTGCTAGAGGGAGGGCAGCTGTGTCCTCCTGGTGGCCCTTCTGTCACCCTGTGCCGACTGTACACTGCAACGGTGGCAGCTTCCCCAGTCTCCACCCGGCCCACCCCCACCCCCTCGGCCACAATCTGCCAGCGTGTCTGTTGTGCCCAAGTAGGATGAATGAATGTTTGAGAGACGTGCCTGGGTATGAACACACCTCTGTTTAAGGGGAAAAAAAGCTTCCGAATCTCACTGCACCGTCCGGTGTGTGCTTCAGTCCTCGCCGCCCGGCTCCAGCGCGCGGCAGTTTCCCCTTCCTCCTGCAGCTGCTCACTGTTGCCCATCAACTGTGCTCTGGACAAGCAGCGAGGGCCGGAGATCTGCTTTCAGATTTGAGTTCTGCCATTTATGATTTTTGACTCTGGCTGCGTTAACCTGGCTATCCTAGGCCTCATCTTGGGTTGGATCTGCAAATAAGCTGTTTCCCCAATTGTTCTGAGATTCAAATAAACAAACCACAAATATGAAAATGCACGGCATATAGTAGTAGTAAGTGTTTCTTATTGTGTGTTTTTAAAGGGCCTGACCCTGTCTGGTGTGGCTCATTTGATCAGAGTGTTGTCCGGTGCACTGAAAGGTGAAGGGTTCGACTCTGGGTCAGGGCACACACCAAGGTTGAGGGGAGTGCCTATGGAGATATTTTCCCTCTCCCTTCCTCTCTTTCTAAAATCAATTTTTAAAAAAACATAAATAAAAGTTAAAACTTTTTTCTTAATAAAAAAATGGACCTTAACAATCCTTGTAATTTTTCCTTGGAAATGTATAAAACAAAAGGTGGTTTTGCTGTCTAAAATGTTGACAAAGTGCACATTAGTTTTTGGGGGTGGGGGAGGGGTGCAGGGGATGGAGCGGGAGATGGTTGGG